GGGAGAAGGAACCCCACACTGGCCTTCCAAGGGGGGGGGGGGAGAAGGAACGCGGCTCTAAACATTTTAGTGGATCAACAGTCGTTTTGGAAGCTCGACTCGGCCCTTGGTGCACCACAAAAAATGAACAAATACGCAACAAAAGACGAGGATGGGTAGTGGGGGAGGGGGGTGTGGGGAGGGGAAAGGGGAGGAGGGAAGGGAAAGGAACGGAAAAACGTACTTGCCTAACAGTACTTGTCTATCAGTGACTAGAGTAGGGGGAAGGGGGGGATTCTAACTATATAGAAGTCACATTAACTACGCTTACTAGCCGTCTTGCAAATGTTGCATTGCAATTTATTCTATCTATCCTGACGAGGAGATTGTGTCTATTAACGTAGCTAAGCTAATGCGGACGGAGCTTCAGCTCTTGGGGTTCCCATCTCTACCAAATTTTAATAGCTATAATAGTTTTTTAACTCTTTGGGATCCGCTAGATCTCTATTTACCCTTATGTCTGCCTTCATCTCTTCACGTACTTATGTATTATATTGGTGTAATGCTGACACGTAAATAATTCACACGTGTATTTCATTATTCTTGTACAACAAAATGACAGTTTGCGCCCTTTCAATTTGCTTTTATTTTGTATGTTGTGATCATGTTTCCCCCTGTTTCTTCCCTCTTTTCAGTGACGAAGTTTCTTGAACTTCCTAATAATTTGTACAGTAGCTCTGAGATTAGTCTGTGAGTACACCTCTGGAATTACTCAGCTTCACGTTGTGTCTGATGAGAAAAGGTCTTCATACTGATGCCATGAACTTCAGAACTGGTCTGAATAATAATATGGAATACAACCATGAATGAGTCCTTGTACAGCTTTCTGGAAATAATCGTTATATGCATTAGCTAACTTTGCATATAGAACCGAACTAATATGCATATTAGTCCAGCTAATATGCGCCTCAGGATATTGATTTCGTGTGATATATATATCCCCGTGACTTCTTTCTATTCGAAAGCGCCTCCTATTTCCAGAAACCATTTTCATTACCCAACACTTGCTGGAGTTGAACTCAAGCAGCCACTTTTTATACACTTCTTGTTGTTTATCCGGGTCTTCCCGTAGAGTCCCTTACTGTAAGTGTATCCTCCATTCTTACCGTGTCATCAGCAAACGTTGACAGGAAGGAGTCTCTCCACTGTGGCAGATTCATTCACAGATCATAAATCAGGATGGGTTTATGGTCTGTGCCTCCCCCCTCCCTCCGCTGGACAAGCACCCCATACTCTAACGACTCTTCCTTGGCTGTATCTTGGATGTTTCCTTATACACTGTGGCACCTTCCCTGTTACTCCAGCTTGTTTCTCGCACGTGATGGCTAGATTTATATAGCCACAGGTCTTCTGCGAGGCAGCAACACACAGTTTGTGAGGCATGATCTGCCATACTTTCTCTCCGTCACACTTACAGGCGGGACCAAAGAGCCAAAGCTCAACCCCCGCAAGCGCAACTAGGTGAGTACACACACTTCCCACTTCTTGAGTGGCATACCTTGAAGTTACCTTGAGGTGTTTTCGGGACTTAGCGTCCCCGCGGTCCGGTCGTCGATCAGGCCTACTCTCATCCAGGCCATCCTCACCTGCGTAAAGACGCTTCTGCTTTGAACACAAGCAGTGGAAAGAGACTGGTGAAAGGGGGAAGCAGGAGCAGCCACAAGGATCCTCCGCCAGGAAGAGTAACGAACCAACAGCCCCCCATCAGTAAACAACAGGCGAGGACCCACAGTCAGTCGACGGCAGAACTCTTCACCCCATGAGGCGCTGTTCCTTATATCTTCCCCTACTCTCCTGACGGTGGTCTAGGCCACGGAGAAGTTGTGGATGGGGGATGTGCGTGTGAGGGAGGGGGGAGGGTAGTGGGGGGGTTCAGAGGGGTGGAGTAGAGAGGAGGGAGGTGTGTGTGTGTGGGGGGGGGGGGGGGGGGGGGGAGGGGTGTATTCCGATTGGTTCGGTCCACGTGGTCCTGGTTGGGGGTCTGAAAGGTAGTAGAGGCTGGTGGGAAGGTAAGAAGGCTGGCTAATGTCCTATTCTCGCCAGACCATACAACTGTTAAAACCATCCGAGTAAACATGTTATGCGCGCTGAATGACGAACCATCCGAGATGTGTGGATGACACACACACACACACACACACACACACACACACACACACACACACACACACACACACACACACACACACACACACGCACACACACACACACACCACATCCATCTCCGTTCTAGCAATAAATTTGGTATTATAATCTATTCTCTCATGTCAACATTTACCATTTATTCTTCTGTGCTGTCTTGCTCTCTTGTTTCACCACGATCTTCCTCTTGTCTTCCTTCCTAATGCCTGCCTCTACTGCCTCCGGAGATAACTTACCAGTAAAGATTTATCTCCCGTGTTCATCTCCTGATTTATTTCGTTTTCACCATCGCTGTCCTTTCTTAAAACTGTTTACCTTTTCATTCTCCGTCTCCCTTTTTTTGTGTGAGGGGACGGGACCGTCGAGGACCTGAACCACTTTCTGTACCACCCAGTCGCCACTGTGCCCCCTTCATTACCACCACAACACCGCCCCTTCACTACCACTCCCCCTTCTCGTCCCCTTCACTGCCTCCACTATCATCACAAAGAATTCGAACGTAGAGATAGTCAGGTTATAACAGAACTGGTACACCTTGGTTAGCGGGCCGAGGGGACAAGAGCTAGACCTCCCTTTCACCTAGTCACTGCTAGATATGCCCTCTCCCCACCACTATAACCACCATATGTACCACCACAACCATCATCTCCTTGCACGCGGCTCCTCCCACCTCTCCCCTACCCCCAACGAAGGCAGGCGGGAGACACTACGCCACATTAGGTCCTTTATATGCCCTCAACTGCCCTGGAAAACTCGGGTTGCCCTTTTCCAGCGCCGTTCCTGAGGTCTGGGCTGTTGGGGTGTCCCGGAAGTACTCCGCAGGAGACAACCGAAGGGACATCCAAGGGATCTTTCACTGATGCTGAACGATGGTGCCTTAAGAAGGCCAAATGAACCCGAAGTGAAGAGTAATCTGGAATTATCGACCCCCGCCGACTGGAAATATCTAAAATAAGAGATATTACGAGTTTCTCATATATATGAAAATATCCAAGAGACTCGCCGAGATATTCTCCGGGAAACTTGACATATTGGTACGTTAATATTTTACATGCGAGTGACAGAACGTTGAAACCGGCATTCGCGTCAAAGATCCACAGGCGTTTTGTAATTGTTGTCAAACAATTTCTTTATTAGAGATGAAAACTGAAATTTAATATGTTTGTAATCTGCACTACTCTGTCCACTACCGCCCACGAGGTGAGTACTGGGCGAGTAGCAACTGATCAAAATCAAATGTTAATTTCTCTTTTTCAGAAACCTTGATGGGGTACTTAGGGGGGGTTTAAGGGTTACTAATACAAGTAAACAAATGGTTCCTGGAAAAAAGTATGAACGTACTTAAAATATACAGTATTATTACAAGACAGAGTGATAATTATACTGTACTATGTAAAGACAGTGATGATAATTATAAACTGTATGATATAGGTACTCCATTCCTTCTCCTATCGTGTGTCTCACGGCAGGAAGATGTCACATCTTGAACCCAAGAAGCGACCAAGAACGCCTCTTCCCTTGAACCCCACGGGGAACAGACGTTCAAAACCATTAAACTGATGACCATGGAAACTAAGAAATAGACCATCTGGAAGTGTGAAGGAAGGCTGAATAATAATATGCCATCTATGGCTCGGAGTCTAATGTAAACACCACACACACACACACACACACACACACACACACACACACACACACACACACACACACACACACACACACACACACACACACACACACACACACACACACACACACACACACACACACACACACACACACACACACACACACACACACACACACACACACACACACACACACACACACACACACACACACACACACACACACACACACCTGACACACACACACACCTGACACACCTGGCCATGTATCAGAAGACGACATTTGAGACTGGACTCTTAGGGAAGCTTACTCTTGGACCCACAAGAAACACACAAGGTTGTAGACAAGGGACTTGTCGGTAATTCGTAATTAAAAGGGCAATATAAACGTCCCAGATTTCAAGGTTTGAAGAGATAATATACTCTATTCAAGTAGGGTCTAAAACCTGAGCAAAAATGTACCCTCTCTACGTCATCGCTGCTCTATAAACCCATGATAATCGAACTTAACGAAAATAAGTGCAGCGTTTCATACATGGTGTGTGACGTCACTATGACGTCAAAATGTTCATGCCGGTACAGGTTTTAGACCTTAATGCTCTACTCCTGCAAGACAACACTGCCCCTTTTACGGTGCCTTCAGCTTTTCGTTTTGTTGGACCTCTGACCGCTTCGCAGGAGTTTTTAGAGTCAAATAGACAGCCTAAATATTACTGTGACATTATCATAAATAACATCGCCTGTGACATCAGCATCATGGCGGCAGTGATGTCACTGTGGCACAACCATTATAATGATCCTATTGTCACATGTGTTGGCACATAGGTGAGGAATTGGGAGGGGGGGGGGGGCAGGGGGCCACGGAAAGGGGGGAGGGGCAGGGGGTCAGCTGTTGACGTCTGGCCGGTAAACAAAGGCACACCAAGATATGCTCTTGACCGTGTGTGAGTTTTTGCTCGGCCCATCGCCTTAAAATGCTTTCAAGTTTCTCCATCTTGACCAATTGAAATGAAGACATTTAACAAGAAGATAAATCAGGGTGATCGCTACAGCCCACAGTCGTGATGCCAGAGGGATAACGACGTGTCCCACACTTTAAAACCCACTTAATTTTTATGATGAATTTTTATGCGAGCTTCCCCGCTAAGACGCCAGCGGGTTTACCAGAGACCACTGGCCAGGGTTGCCGGGATGGCCGGCCCTCGCTTACAAGGTTCGTCGCGCGCTGACTGCTGCAGCTCCCCAAGGGCCCGTCGCCCCGCAGCTCCTCAAGGGCCCGTCGCCCCGCAGCTCCTCAAGGGCCCGTCGCCCCGCAGCTCCTCAAGGGCCCGTCGCCCCAGCTCCTCAAGGGCCCGTCGCCCCGCAGCTCCTCAAGGGCCCGTCGCCCCGCAGCTCCTCAAGGGCCCGTCGCCCCGCAGCTCCTCAAGGGCCCGTCGCCCCGCAGCTCCTCAAGGGTCCCGTCGCCCGTCGCCCCGCAGCTCCTCAAGGGCCCGTCGCGCCGCAGCTCCTCAAGGGCCCGTCGCGCCGCAGCTCCTCAAGGGCCCGTCGCGCCGCAGCTCCTCAAGGGCCCGTCGCGCCGCAGCTCCTCAAGGGCCCGTCGCGTCGCAGCTCCTCAAGGGCCCGTCGCCCCGCAGCTCCTCAAGGCCCGTCGCCCCGCAGCTCCTCAAGGGCCCGTCGCCCCGCAGCTCCTCAAGGGCCCGTCGCCCCGCAGCTCCTCAAGGGCCCGTCGCCCCGCAGCTCCTCAAGGGCCCGTCGCCCCGCAGCTCCTCAAGGGCCCGTCGCCCCGCAGCTCCTCAAGGGCCCGTCGCCCCGCAGCTCCTCAAGGGCCCGTCGCCCCGCAGCTCCTCAAGGGCCCGTCGCGCCGCAGCTCCTCAAGGGCCCGTCGCGCCGCAGCTCCTCAAGGGCCCGTCGCGCCGCAGCTCCTCAAGGGCCCGTCGCGTCGCAGCTCCTCAAGGGCCCGTCGCCCCGCAGCTCCTCAAGAGCCCGTCGCCCCGCAGCTCCTCAAGGGCCCGTCGCCCCGCAGCTCCTCAAGGGCCCGTCGCCCCGCAGCTCCTCAAGGGCCCGTCGCCCCGCAGCTCCTCAAGGGCCCGTCGCCCCGCAGCTCCTCAAGGGCCCGTCGCGCCGCAGCTCCTCAAGGGCCCGTCGCGCCGCAGCTGGACGGCCTCGGGAGCAAAAATGAGATAATTCCAGGTCATAGTGCGTCACCCGAGGTCATTAATATTTAATGTGACGGGTGAGGGAGGCGGATCCTCACGAGACCACTCTCCAAAAATATCGTCCTCTCCAAAGACCACTTGATTAGTCCCCTACTGGCCCACCTATTGCAGAGACCACCTTTTACTGAGTCCACCTCCCCCCCCCTCAAGTCTATATAGCAACACCTCTCCCCTCAATAGCAAAGTGTTCTTGCGCAGTTCCTTGCTAGACAAATGACATCCAGTCTGTATGGCTCCTACTTATATCAACTCAAACTCACTTTAATATACTGAATATGCATATTATATATATTATATATCTAATGTCTAACCTACGCCTGAAATACAATGTTCCACGTTAATTATGTTACCTGGTAATTTGCTCCATAAAAAGAACTGTATGACGCTTACTATTGTAAGCGTCATACAGTTCTTAAGAACTGTAAGCTATTCGCTTACAATTCTTCCGCGAGGCTGGCGGGACCCAAGACGCTGGCGGGACCCAAGACGCCGGGACCCAAGACGCCGGCGGGACCTCAACACACCGGTGTGACGTACAAGTGACGGAGAACACAAAGGTTACCATGGCAGGATAAAACCAAAGGATTTAAGGTGACCAACGCAGGAAGGAAGCAAAAGGGAAGATGCCAGAGAGTAAGGTGACTATTTAGCACTTGGAAGGAATATGAGAACAATGAGCTAAACATGAGGACAGGAGCAAAGTAACGATACACAACAATTTGGATCATCGGGGATCGAACACCGACGCTGCAAGGCCGTCGCTCTCCTAACCAGTCCAAGGAATGCACTGTGAAGGACATAGCTCTGCATCAGGTATGGAAAAAAATATTGGTGTAACCAAAGCCTCAAATGTAAATCTAGAGACGTTATTCAGTAGAATAACGTTGGCAGGATAGGTCCTATATACAACCTACATGGAACTCGCTATCGAGTATGAAGCTCGGCCATCGTGGCCAAGCTATCATTGGTGCTGATAAACCTATTTACCAGATCACAAATAGCACAAACGTAGAACAGGTTCAAAGATATACTGAGCAGTCTGAGCTACAAGGATAGAGGGAGCTGAATCTCTCAGCACTAGGTGAGAGGAAGAACAGGGGGATATGATAACGACATACAAGATTCTTTAGGGCACTTTACAAAATACACAAAGAAGCAATGTTCACAGCGAGACACGGCAGAACAAGGAGGACATAAACGAAAACCTGAGGGTAAGTGACTCAAAGCTGGACACATTTTTCAAATGTATGAGTCATTAATAAGTGAAATATTATCTCCAAGACGCTCTAGTGAGGTCCCCTAACAGTCTAGAGCCTATGCCATATTTCCTGGGCCTCCAGACACTACAAGATCCCCACAGCGTCCAGGAAAAAACAACATGGTCCCCCGCGTGGCCAGGATCTACTATATGGCCCCCCGGGTGTTGTGGAGCCCCGGGTGTTGTCCTCAGGGTGCTCGAGACGAGTCTTGTTTTCTTCGAATGACCACCAAATTATCTCTGCCGGTAACATTCTGGAGGAGACGGAGGCGCCCCCTGACGGCTGCCGACCTCCAGACATCACGCGGGTGCTTCAGACAACGTGAGGCGGTGCGGGTACCTCAAGAGAGCAGTTGATGATGATGGGGTAACGTGTTAGCGAAGGGCCCAGGGAGAGCTGAGGCTCTTCCTCCCATCACATCACAACCCATCCTCGAGATGTCGTATTATGTCCAGATTTAGTCGCATGATTGATCAGGCCCGAAGCTCGTAAAATTGATCAGACTGAGCAAGTAAATTCTCTCCAGTGCGATCCGTTATCAGAAAGTTTCGTACGTCTAAAAAAAAAAAATGTGTTATTTGTTTAAAAATATATAATAATAAAACAAATTACGAATGTATACAATTTGAAGTATTGCTTCAACACACTAAAAGATATGGAAGGGAGGAGGTGTGGAGGTAGGGAGCCCCTGTGACCACCCCGGCGGGCCTTGATACGCAAGTCTTGATGTATCACTCCCATAAAATACTAACAAGGTATTAACTCTGATCATCTCATACATAAATTACCAGTGTGTTTACCTCCCTCAAAGGCTCCCTTCGACACACCAAGATATCCACCTCATCTAAACACGGCTCATCAACATTCTTCAACTGCTCTGGCTCTATTATACCCCTTCAGCGTCAAGCTTTACATCCACATGGAATTCCTCCACAGCCGCCGCAATGTTCCCGGCTGCCTCCTCGCCAGAGGCCTCAAGGCCGAGGTCTCGCGAGAGGCCATAAGGCCGAGGTCTCGCGAGAGGCCGCAAGGCCGAGGTCTCGCGAGAGCCGAAAGGCCGAGGTCTCGCGAGAGGCCGCAAGGCCCCTGACTGCCTCGCGAGACGCCGCAAGGTCTTTATCTCTAGTTAATTTGCAGTGTAGTCGATTTCGAGAGGTGTTCCACACTCTCTAGGCTAATATCTTTATAGGAAGAAAGTCTGAATATTAGCTGTAACATGCACTGAAGGACAACCAAACTGTCAGCCCCCGGCTACAGTCACAACTCATCAATGGAGCACAAACATGGGGCCAGAAGAGCACTCAATAGCAACAGGTTAACCCAATATACAATAAACACCATCAATACACGCGAGATCACAAAGACAAGTCACTTTGAATGGTGTCTCGGAGGTAAACGCAGACTACGTCACGCAAGAACAGTGACAATCGCCGCCATCAAAGTGTAAGATTCTGATTCAAGAATCTGACTAACCTCCCTCTGCTGCGTATCACTGCACAGATAAATATAAACTTGGTATCTGACAGCTTCACATACTTTAACAGACGAATCAGTAGACCAGGAGAAACAAGAATCTGGAGCTTCAGTTAAAGAGAGGAAATTCGATTTATTTTGAGACTCTTAAACGGGTGCTCAACTTTACAGCGATGCAAGCTGTTCAAAAGGCTTTTGGAGATGTCCCTTGCTGAAGGCAGACACCACGTTGTCATACAGAGAGAGAGAGAGAACTGTCAACGAAGCCTTGCAACACGAGCACTTAAGTGACAACATCCATCTGGCCACAAATATTATAGCATTATAGCCAACGCTTAAACATCAAAGTGGTCGAATATATGAGCTGTGTCATGGAGGAATATAACATTGCAAACGAAGCTGCAACACTTGCAACTATGAAGAGGAATGTAAACATTTACATACCACAGAGTGTAGTCGAACAAGAAAATAATTAGACAAAGCAATGCAGAACATGTATAGGTGGGACGAGAGTGGAGTGCCCCAGGGACGGAGTGCCCCAGGACGGAGTGCCCCAGGGGAGTGCCCCAGGGAGTGCCCCAGGGACTGACTGCCCCAGGGGTGCAGTGCCCCAGGGACGGAGTGCCCTCAGGGACGGAGTGCCCCAGGGGTGGAGTGCCCCAGGGGTGGAGTGCCCCAGGGACGGAGTGCCCTCAGGGACGGAGTGCCCCCAGCGGTGGGGTGCCCTAGGTGGTGTCCGAGGGCTGGGGTAGCGGTGCCGCCTGCACAAATGGGCCGGAACTGGTACGGTAGGTGGCACACACACACGCTCAGGTTGCTGAGCCAGGCGTCATGAAGATAATTTTAAACACCTCTAAAGTGTCGGGCAATTTAAAAAAACCAAAGTTAACTGCAAGTGAGGGAGAGGAGGAGGGGGGGGGGACGACACTATTATTGATGGTCTGAAACACCACACAATCCCCCACCCTCCCCCTCCCTTCCCCCCCTTTAGGTGGGCCTTTTTCAGCGTCGGGCACGTCAGGCCAGGGCGTGGGCGAGACACACACACACACACACACACACACACACACACACACACACACACACACACACACACACACACACACGTGTGGCCCTCATAGCCGCATCCCACACTGGCACCGGAGCCAAGCAGGTGGGCCACACCTGCCCGCCACACTCACCTACCCCCTCCCCACCGCTCTCCCACAGATGCTCACAGATTATACACTTCTTCCACTCACCAGATTTATTTTGAACGTGTTGGTGAAATTAATTTTAGAGAATGTGCGTGGCGCCGCGTAGATGGGAGGGGGGGGGGAAGGAGGAGGATACAGGGGGGGAAGGGTATAGGGGGGAGGGGTGAAGAAGGGAGGGGGGAAGAGTGAGGGGGGGGGGGGAAGAGTGAGGGGAAGGGAAAGAGAGGGGGGATGAGGCACGCGTTCCGGACCGGGTGCAGCTGTCTGGCTCTTGTTCCTCTCAGCACGGGGTCACAAGCAGGGAAGCACAGCATTGTGCATCTGTATGGTACACCCTGCCTCCACTTTCCCTTGCCTTTACCCGTGGCGGGTTTCCAGAGTTATATATACATATTCCCCCTCGGTCAAACTTCTGAGATACCTTGATCCGTGAGGCTGTTGGTAGTGTCCGTGTTCCGATCCTTGTAGTTCAGGCCAATGTAAGGAATATTATCGGTACGAAGTTGGAGACTTGAGAACCGTCGTATTTCCAACGTGTTGTCTGGTCGTGCTTAAGATAGAACCTCCACTCTTCACTGGTTCTGCTCTTCCTCTGCCTTTTGACTGGTTCTATCTCTCACTCAAATACATATGAATATAATACACTGCAGGTCTATTGGTTCATAACTGGATTGTACCTGGATGGGGTTCTGGGAGTTTTTCTACTCACCAAGCCAGGCCCGAGGCCGAGCTTGACTTGTGAGAACTTGGTCCAACAGGCTGTTGTTTGGAGCGGCCCGCAGGTCCACATACCCACCACAGCCCGGTTGGTTCCTGCATTTCTTGAAGCAAACTATCCACTTAAACTATACGAGACAGCTCCTATGAACATGCATTCAAACTCATTTTCACACGTCTAACCTACGCTTGAAACAAGCAAGTGACCCCCCCCCCATTCGAGGTGATCCATGAAGTGGCAGTTCTTGTTGTAAACGTTGGCACAGCCCAACCAGTCATTTTCCTCCCTGATGCTTTCCTTACTTTGTGGTAATTACTAAACG